ATGGTTATATACAAATATGGCTGCAGAAATCTCCCCTAGTGGTTTGGGTATGGAATGCAGTTAGAATGCTTTTATGAGTTTGCCTGATCCTTTAAAATATATGCAGTAAATCTACTCTGTAATCTGGCTCCTGTTTCCTATTCAACTTCCAACCACTTTCTTCCTCACTCTCCACAACCCAGTGACTTTCTGTCCCTTTGTAGCAACCACTGTCTTCCCAGGGAGACTTTCCAGTTTCAATCTGGTCTGGAATTTACTATCACCTTCCATGCAATGACTACATTTATCTCTTAATTGTAAGGTAAAATGCCATGTGACAAGACAAAGTACCTGGAGGATGCCTGTGGCCTTTCCATCTGTGTGTTTCCTTCATAAGTAGTATTTGCCACAATCTATAAATAACCTGTATATTAATTTACTTTTTGTTTTTGCTCTCTCCTGCCTGATTCATACATAACCTTAAGGTTGTAGGAGTCTCGTCAATCCTGCACACATTTGTTGAAGCAATCTGACAAGACAAGTGGCTATTTTCATAGCTGGCCACTCCTGAGTTATCACAGAAAGGATGGTGGTAAATAATGAGAATAAAATCTGAATACCTGAACTTAGATCTGCCACTTAATTTTGAGTTTAAAAGTTAGTAACTTCCCATTTCCTCATTACACCATAGCAAAATGCTGTGTATGTTACCTAATTTTCCATAGTATTATTTAAGGATTATGTAAATTTTACATGAAATCACTTTGTCATAGGAAAGTGGAATACTAATGTTATTAATAGTCAAGTATACTACAGTAATAGTAGTTACTCAAAATAATTACTAATAACTATTCATATCTGCTTATACAGTATTAGCCCTATTTTAAGTTGATAGAACTATAAATTGTGCAATTTTCACAAAAATAATATTTTTCATTTTTCAAAAACAATTTTAGAAGAGTCACAACATATAAAAACTATGGGATTTCCTGATGATTTATTAGAAAAGATTACTTTCAATAGTCCTATAAAGGTTGCAGTATATTGCCACACATTTATGTTTTTATTTCCATTTTCCATAATGCTCACCCTTTCTATATTCACTCTTATTTATCTCTTCCATTACAATTCCAACTTGGACATATTTTCCTTCTCTGGCTTACTTTAGAACCTTATTTGGCTTCCCCTGGGCCTTATTCCCTATTGTTGTGGGATATTTTGGGGTATCTGAGGACATTTGAGAGGGTGTATTCAAAGTAGCCATTAGGAGACATGGGCTAATTGTGCTGATAGACTTTGGGAAAGAAAGGCAACAGACAGAGACTGTTCTTATTACTGATGCTGGGTTGTTTTGGCTCCACAAAAAGAGAGAGGATAATAGGTTGGTGGCAAAAGGAAGAAAGGAAAGTGATATTAACTAGAAAAAGAAATGGGCCATACAAACAAAAAAGCACAATAATATTTATTCTGGAAATCTAAAAGAAGAGTATCTACTATGGCTTCTAACAAATTGAGGGGGAAAGTGACAAAAATAAATGATGACTGTGTTTCCTATATATTATACATATACAATGATGATAATACAACAACTATATATTTACTTTATACCAGCCCTGCACTGTTTTACAAATATTATTACCTCATTTAATCCTATAACAACTCTATTATTATCTCATTTAATCCTCTGTGACTATTATTATTATTATTATATCAATTTTGCAAATTAGAACCCAGTTGTCCACAGAGACTAGATAATTTGCCTAAGTTTTCATTGTTCTCATGTAACTGACTTCTAAGACCATGCTCTTACCCATTAAGCCATAATTTCTCTCTGCATCAAGATTTGCCTAAAAGACATCATAATTTCCACATTTAATTCATAGAATGTACTAAACATATGATATTTTTATTTCACTATTTTAGGTAATCGTATCTTATGCATATTTGAAATGAAAGACAAAAGAAACACTGCTGCCCAATACATTGTTTCTAGTTCTAAATGACCGAGATGGATGGAACTATTTCCAGCAATGGGGACACCGACAAGCAAAATCCCCTGAATTTTTTGTGACATCATTTTATATACATAGTGTATCTCATCTACTAAACAGCCTGATCTTTGTGCATAATAGTTAAAAACACAGAGACCAGTTCCAAATAAATGTGTAGGTTGTGTGTACTTGCTTTGATAAGTGAGTTAATCTCTCTAACTTCATGTTCCCAATGTGTGAATGGGGATGAGCACTAAACTATTATAAAAAAATTAAATTTCTATCTCCTTAACCTTCATTGTGTTTCTTTCTCAGAAAATGCTTTATAAATATTATCTTTGTGTTTGTTGTTTTTGCTATTAATAAACTACTGGCACTTAGTTGAATCTTCCTAGGTGAAAACACAGACCAGACCTTTCCTGATGTGTTTTTTTCTTAGCAATTTTGTTGGACATAGCAAGTGTTATGAATAGGAAATGAAGAGCAAAAAAAATCAGACCTTTATTTTGGTCATATTAAGATATGAAATTAAAATATTTTTCATAATCTACTATCACATAATTTCTTATATAAAAAGGACATGAGCATTTAATAATTTAATTTTTATTGCTATTGCCACCCCTGTACTTTAGGTAGGATATAGCTTTTTCTGTAATTTGCAAAGTGAGAAGTTAATGAAATATTTATAATATTTATTCTTCCACTATTTAAATGTTATCAGCACTGTGATTGAACTCATGCAAATAATAAACATTTCATAAGCCAAGGACTGCAGAAGGCCTTGCCATCCTTTCTCATCTGGACAACTGCACTCTGCACTGGACCCTCATCAAAGAACATTTACTTTTTTTGCAACCAAATAAGTTAAAATTCTGTTCACACTCACACAGAAAATATGATGGGCCAATTCTTTTTCTATAAAATGTGATATAAAATCAATTAGTTAAGAATATATGTGAAAGTATGGCTAGGATCCTAACAAAGTAGAAATGGAAGAGGCTACAGGCAGGTGGAGAAACAAGCCTCTCCAAAGAGAGGTATTGAATTTGGCACAGTCAGATATTTATGTGTAATTTTAGCATCCATTAATGTTAAGGTGACAGTGATTTAAGTTTCAGTCTAAGTCTTCTCTTGGCTTATAGGTGGCAGTCATATTCCTGTGTGCCCACAGGACATCTTTGTATGCACAAACACAGAGATAAGGAGACCAAGATATCTGATGTCTCTTCTTAAGAGGTCCCTAACCCCATCCCATGAAAGTCCCACACTCATACCTCATCTGACCCTAATCACTTCTCAAAGGCCATTACATCGGGAATTAGAATTTCACCATATCATTCCTGGGGAGCACCAATTTCAGTCCATAATACATATGTCAATAACATTGCATATTCTGCATGCCTTACCTCACTTAATCTTCACAGTGATCCAATAAGATAGGTTCCATTATAAGTTTAATTTCTTTCCCAAAATAAACTGTGATCTTTGAGCTGAAATTTCTCACATAAATTACACAGCCAGAAAATAAGCATTTTTATTTCTTCACAAACAGTCTTTTTTTTTTCAGCTTTAATTGAGTTTATTGGTACATTTTAGGGATACAGTACAGTTACATTCATTGTTGGGATCTTGTACCTCTACATGGCAAGTCTTGATTCTCATTTTTTCCCCTTTGTTTGTGTTCCCTTTTGCTTTTGTTGTGTTTAGTTGGTTGGTTAGTTGGTTGATTGGTTGAGGGGTGGATTAGTAGGTAATGAGTGGGCTGCCTATTTTTTCTTCAACTACTTTTAGTGCTAGGGTCATGTGTATTTGGAACATTTACATGTTTCTTTTCTTGACAAGAATAAGTGTCCAGAAAGGTTCCACTGTTCTTCATATACAAAGTAAAAGTATTGGAAGGTAATATTCACATTTTTCTCTTCTTTTCATGTGTTTAGGTTTTTGAAAATTGAACGGATATGAAATTGCAGCCACATATTGAGCACGATGCAAGAAGGACTCAGTGTAGGTGTCTCTGGATCAAAAGCACTAACCTTCTGAAACACGCCAATAATCAAAGTGAGATTAACGCTGCTATGTGTCTTAATCCCTAATTTCATTTGCTCTACAAATGTAGTATTACATTCAGCAGGTATACAAATTCTGAGTTTATACAGTGTCAGATTTATCAGTTTGGGATTAGAGAGCTTTTCTGTTGTGCTTCTTTGTGTTTATCTAAAAGTGTTTCCAGGAAGAATACAAAAAAAAAAAATAGACAGGTAGAAAATATTAAGGAAAAGCAGTAATTCAAAGCACATCCTCCTACAACTCTTACAACTAATCAATGCTGCCCGAGCTCCTTGGCATTCATCTCTTGCTTCCTTTTGAGAATATTAATGTGCCGTGTTACTTCTGCTCAATTTTGCCATCCCTCCTTGCATACTTGAGCACGTATTCATTCTTTATTGACAGAAATATTTAAGCATTGAAAATGAGTAAGACTTGGAATGAAATGTGACCATCTATTGGAGAAGCTGGGTGAACTCTGTGAAAACTAATGTTTCAGTTGTAGTGTTTCTCAGGCTTCAGTCAGTCTCTCTATAGCAAGAGGCAGAAAATCAATGATCAGATGCAACTTTCCAATTCAGAAGGTGCAACCTGTGTTTTTATTATAAGTGTGCCAAGTGTCTTCATTCTTAAATACTAACAAATTGTCTGCATCAAAAAAGACTGTGGTTCAACTTAATTTACAAATGTTCCTAGCAGACAGGTTCCAATGTTCTAAAGTATCTTTCTACGCAGTTCGTTAAACATAGGAAGGTTTATCCTTATGGAATCAACTCTGTCATTACATTCCCTCTCTTGCATTGTAATTTCTTCATTGCTTAAACAGAATGTCTAAACAGCATGAGGTCTGAAGATGGTTCCTGATAAACTACCAACCTTTATGTGTATTTTTTGCTTCATTGGGATAAAAGAAAGAAAAGTTTTGCAGACAACAGGGACATAGTTCTCATGAAGATTCATCACTTACAACCATTTTGTGTGGAACTTTATTCTTCCTAGGTTTTCTCCAAAAATGTCACAGAAAGGTGGGAAAGTGGAGCTCAGGGAGTTTCATCATAAATACTACTCTGCTGTATGATGATTCCTTAAATCAGACTGACTTCTCAGCATGGCGCAGTGCTACCCTGGTCATCTGAAACCACATAAAGAGCTATGTTTGAGATGTTCCCTGGTAGATTCTGTGGAGATTTTTCTTTTTCTTTTCATACTGTTCAGTACCGGGAATTGAACCTAGGACGTACAATACTACAAGCTACATCCACAGCATTTTGTTTGTTTGGTTTTTGGTTTTAGTTTATTTATTTATTATTTATTTTGGTACCAGGGATTGAACTCAGGTCCTTGAACTTTCATGGCAGGTGGCAGAACCACTGAGCTAAATCCCCAGCCCTGGGTTTTTGTTTCAGGAAGTTGCCTAGGCTCAAATTTTCAGTCCTCCTGACTCAGCTTCCCAGAGTGCTGAGACTACAGGTGCACTGCCACACTCGGCTATACTTTTAGAGAATTTTGTTAGCTTTGTCATCTTGTATCCAAAGGAAGTATAAAGGAAATTATAATGAATTAATTCTACAGAGACATTTTTAGATTTTATATGATAGAATCGGTAGAATAAAAATGCATTGAAGGAGAACTCCTGATTATATAATGTTAAATACTCTGCCAGCTATCTCCCTCAAAGTGCATTTTTCTAATACATTTGTTCCAAAAAACTTTCTACACAATAAGTATTCATTGCAACCAATATGAGGTTGACTCCAGGGTTTAGGTATGATGTAATCATTCCAGGGTTCCTTTCAAAGTACTAATTTGACAAAATCATTTTATATTAAGCAGCTTTAAAGAATAAAAAATTGATTCTTGGGGTTTTTTTTTTCTAGAAGCTAAATTACATGTTAAAAAATGTGTTTCAAATGTGACAATTTGATATTTTAACCTCAGATTTTCTCTTCTTGCAAATTTCTTATTTAATTCAAATTATAAATAACAACATGATAAAGAAGTATATTAAAAGATTGGGTGAGACAAAACAACCATGTTGTGTGAGGAGACGATAAGAATTAAATGATATTTTTTCCTTTTAGCTAATAAATAGTGCTATTTAATTTTTACCGTTCACTTTTTTTACTTTTAAAATGCACCAAGTTAAATGATTTGGTTACTTACATGAGGAAAAATGACTTTTCTCACAACAATTCTTTGTCTAGAGCTTCGACAACTTGATCAAAATTGGAGTTCTGTTAGCAAAAAACAAAGAGGAGTTAGATTTTTAGTTATATGACTAAGATTCTCTGCCATAGACTGATACAAATAAACAAAGATAGGACAGTTGATTGCTTCTCAAAATGCTGCTGCCACTCACCAGTTAAGCCGATACTGAGAACATATACTTCCTCTATAAGAACCAGTGTATTTGTTTTGTTATTATGATACTAAATTATGTGCAGCAGGCTATTTGATAAATAAAAGAGGTTTACTTTCGCTCACACACACACACACACACACACACAAAGAAAAATGACTTTATAAAGAGAAGAAAATGATTTTGGTTGGCAAAATGTTAGTTGTTCTCCAAATTATCCCTAAGAAAGCAATGAGCAAATGGAAATTTGGATTGCTAAAGTGAGAGTTTTAAAAAACAGTGGGAAGTGGAAGGAAAAGAAATTCTGATGCTCAGTTTTTTGTAACTTAAAATTTCAGATATGAGAACTCTTAAATAATTCCTTCAAAGTTGCCATCCAGCATATATAACATACATACATAGCAGTGTTTCTCCTAAGACTAGGACTCATCTTCAGACTGCAGTCTGATTCAACATGTAATGATACACAAGAAAATAAATGATGCAGAATGAATCTCTCCCCCCTCCTGTAGAAGAATGATTACAGAAGTAAAGAAAAAAAAGCAGTTCCTTCAAATGAGATTCCTGTCAATCAATAAACTCAGTATCTTATAAATTTTCACTTAAATCATTCCTTAAATACTAAAGTGAAGTAAAAAATACCTAGCTACATTTTATAGCACAGTGTTGCAAATTATACTAAACACTTGCAAAAAGAACCTGTAGGTCAGGAACTTCTATTAATAACCAGATAATCACTACTAATGAGGTGATTATTCAGTGCCATTATAATGGGAACTGGGTAATTTGGATTTTATGCTTACCATTTCTCAACATCATGAAAAGGTTTTTTTGTTATTCATTACCCCAAAGATAGAAAAGCCCTTTTGTCCTTTTCTCTTCTAAAAAAGTAGAGCATAAAAAATTTTTTAAATAATTTTAAAGTGATAGCTTAGAATTTATTGTAAGGATTGATATCTATAACAACAATATGTACTTGTAGTAATTCATATATTAGGGAGTTCAGGTTCATATAAAAATTTATTATGAGGAAGTTTTAAGTTTTTTTCCCTTAAAATTTCTCACCTTAAGTATTTATGTTTTTTGTTTTGTTTTGTTTGTTTTTTAAATTTTTTTTTGTTTTTGATGAGTGAAATAAAATATTCCCTGGAATATTACTGTGCTTGCAGAACTACTCTTCTCTTTGAAAGAGAAACTCTGGAGGGTGCCTGGAATTGCAGCTGCAAATTTCAAATGGCAGGTGAGACACTTCCATGTCCAGTACATGCCTGCCCAAGATTATTCCTGCTTTGGAACTGGCCCAGCTCTGCACAGGTGATAGCCCAGCGCCCATCTCTGAGGGCACAGAGCCAGCCTGGTGTTGGGTGCTGTGATGTTTCACCTTGGACTAAGCCTGTCCCAGGGCCTGAAAAGTATAGCTGCCCAGCTTTCCTCCTGCATCTGTCTTGAGGCAGAAGCCTTTCTTCCTTCATACTAAGAATTTTTTTGTATTTCCTTTTCAAGTGCATCACAGGAGGGAAATATTGCCATAGCTGGCAAGTTTAGCCATGAGAAAGGAAATTTTTAGCTTTTTGAGCTGGAGTTATTTAGGTCACCTCTAAATCATATAAAAGAAGCCAGCATTTTGGTGATGCTGTGGAGAGACATTTTTCAAAAACACAGCTATCCTCAGATAAACAGGGCAGAGGAGGCAAATTTTATCTCTAACTTCTTAAGGATTTTAGGTATAAAACAATAGAGTTTTAACACTAAAGGTATATGGATATGGATCTTAAATCCACTACTATCTCTATTGACCTATCTTTCCTAAAATATAGTAATTTATTTCCTTTTCTCCTGATCTGTCTACCCAATGCACTCTCCATTCTGAGCTAGAGCAGCCCTTCTAAGAGACAAAAACAAAATAATCATGTATGATGAAAGACAAAGACACAATACCAGCTACAAGAAAGAAATCTAGTGATTATAAAATATCAAGACTGGAAATTACTAATCTGGATCCCAATTTCCTTATGTATTTCATGAGAAGACCCAGGGCTCCAGAGTCTGCATCAGTTAGTTTATATACCAAAAACTAAAATGCAAGAAATTGGTTGAAAAATGTAAGCACCTATGAGTGACCTAACAAACCTTGAATTTTATATTCCATTTAGACCATTTATTTAGACTTAAATTGACCTTCCTGTTTAATAAACAGTTTAAGAAATGATTCAGATATATATAATTCATTTACTTTTAGCAGTATTCTTTAAATTCTAAATACTTTATCCTTCTTCAAAATAAACCCTATTGAAAAAGACTAGACACTGAAGATGGTTTATTTCATCTTAGAAATGCATACACACACACACACACACATATATATATATCCAATTTCTTAAATGATGAATTGAAATAAATCAATATGATCAGTAATGGTACATCACATAGCATTGCATAGAATGAGAGAATAACAAAAAAATTTTATCTAAATTCTAAAACATGCAGTCTTGGTCTTTAAATTTGTAATCTAGAGGTCACAGATATTTTGCAATATTAATTTTTAGCATCCTTGTTTCTTTAACTTGGGTACATCATGAACATCTTCCATCTTTCAGCCCTGATACAAGACAGTAGGCATATTAAGGTGGAGGTGTACTGTCAACCTGATTGGCTTTGGAGTCTGTCCAGGGATTGGTGGGGAACACTAGTGTGTGTGTCTCTGTGAGTCATCGAGGTACTATGTAAGATTCATGGAGCCTTCCTCTCTGGCACTGCTCCCTGTTCACCATGAGCTAAGCATCCTTTTCCCCACAAATCCCTTCCACCATACCATTCTGTCCTGCAACCAATTAACTTTGGCTAAACTGTGAATAAAATAAAATAAACCTCTCCTTTTAAGATTCAAATGTCAAACTTAGTGTCTCAGTGACAGGAAAGTGACTAATGCAAGAAGAGTGCACTTGAAGCAGATAAAGTTAATAGCATTTTTTATTAGCTCATGTTTGCAGTACATAATATTATATACCTTGTCTGGAATTTGCTGTACATGATATCTTAATTTTTTGTATGGAGTTTGGTACGTGTAAATAATACATCTTAATTCCTGTTTTTTCATCCCTTTTCCTTCCCTGGATCTCCTTGTCATTTGAGAAAAATCTATCTCCATACTTTCTATGATTTATTTTTAATTTTCCTCATTTGTTATTTAAGGCGATTTCATTGAAGTCTCATCCTACCAACTCATATATCTGCCAGTGTTTATCAATATAATTTTGTTTACTCTTATGTATTCTACAAGTGTGTGGTTGCGTATAAATAAAGTTCTAATGTGGTTTTTCTTCTGATTACCAATGAAACTAATCATTCTATTTATTTGTTCACTATAAGGGTATGGTCTTTTGAATTGCCTGTACAAACCTCCTACCTGTTATTTTTAAAGTTAGGGCTTTTTTTTTTCCTCTCATATTTATCAGTAAAGAGTTCATGTTAGATTCTGAATGCCAATTTTTTTGTCACTCATAAATCTTGTAAATATCCACTTCTCATTTCTGAATGATGTATTTTGATTTTAAAAAGTCTTAAATTTTACTCGGGGCAAATTTAACAATCCTTTCTTTATGATTAGTGCTTTTGGTGTACCTTTAAAAAATTACTATCTAATATAATTCAGAAATATCATTAAATTTTTCCTACACTTACTTCTAAAAGGTTGTGACTTTACTATAATATTTAGACTTATAGATTAATATTTGTGCCTTATATGATTCATTTTGGTTCCTGTGGATATCCCATTGACCCAGTACCCAGATTTTGAAAAAACATTTTTTTCCACTGCTCTAAATGGTCACCCTTATTAAAAACAACTATATATCTGTTGGTCTTTATTTTGACCTGTATCTTTGTTACTTATGTAACCTTACATCAATGACACATCATATTTTTATAACCTTTGTGTTAGGTATAAATCCTCAAAATTTTTCTCCCTTATCAAAGTTATCTTGGTTATTCTGGGATCTTTTTATTTCAATATAAATGCTATTGTATTTGGTCAATTTTTACAGACACAAACACATTTATAAAACATTTATTTCAGAATGAGGGATTTAGCTCAGTTGTTATGCTGCCTGCCTCATAAGTGCAAGGTCTGAAGATTGACCCCTGGTTAAAACAAAAAAAAAAAAAAAAAACAGGATTTATTTCAGTTATAGTTTATAAAAAAATCCATAAAGCAATTCGGGAATAAGTGGTTTCTTTGCATTATGGACTCTTCCAAATCATAAACATGGTATACAACTCCATTTATTCTGGTGATTTTGAATTTTTTTCAAATTTGGTAGTTTCCTCAGCATAGATCTTGCATATTTCATTATATTTATTCCTATGGGTTTGATTTCTTAAACCACTATTAAAATTGTTATACTTATCTAAATATTTGGTGCTGGGAAATAGAATTTAATAGATATTTCTTCTTAATTCTGGAAATTGTGCAAATTTCATTTATCAGTTTCTATTATTTATTTACAGGATTAGTGTGATATGTGTGTATACACAACACTATCCTTTTACATTGCATTTCATTATCTGTTACCAATACAAATAATACATCCTTTCTTAATGTGACAGTGTAGAGTGTCAACTTTATTGGCTTTAAGATTTGTCCCAGGGATTTGTAGAGCACACTTCCAGGTGCATCAGAGTGGATCATAAAGGTGTGACCTTGGAGTCTATATCTGGTCCCTCACCCCTTACTCTTCAGTGCTGCTGCCTTGCTCTGCTTCTTAGCTACCTTAAACTAAGCATCTTTATTCCACTATGTTCTTCCCCACCATGATATTTCTGGCTTGGGGCATTCTAAACAGGGACTAAATTCCCTGAACAGTGATGCAAATTAAG